GCGTGTCTGACTGCGATGCACCTGTAATAAAATTATAAGGTTTTCGTTTAGGACGTTTAATATTAGATAAGTGTATGTCTTCAGTTGTATTTTTATGTCGAGTAATGATTTTGGCTGTTTTTCTTTCGCGATTGGTATTCTTTATTTCTTCTTTTTGATATTTATTTTTTGTTTTCCCTTTGTTCAAAATACTGCAAATGGCTTTATTATTTTGAACTTTTGTTAAACATTGTGGAATTTCTAAATTCCCAATTTTGGTATATGGGATTATTACATCACCATTATTGACATTTTTTATGTCTACCGAAATTATTTGTTCGGTTCTAGGAGGCACTACTGTGCAATTCATGCTTTCCTTGTTAATATTGTGATAAAAAATTTTAATTTGACTATTTTTTGTAATTAAAACATTATTTGTAAGGTCTATTTTGGCATTAAGTTTCTTAAGATTGTCTAATCCTAATAAACAATCAAAGTAGTCATGAAATTTAAATATATAATAATTAATTTCATAGGATTTTTGGTTTGAAATATTTTAGAAGTAGGAATTACAGTACAAAAATTTTGTTGGGTCATGCCTAGTGCTGTGGAAACTTGAAAAAGTTTCCGAAAGATGGAATTTTTAAAATATTTTTCCGCTACATTTGGAACAACAAAAGATTTAGTACTACCGGTATCAATTAAAACTTTCAGATTATTTTCAGGAAAAATTATATACGGTAGTTCACTTTCTTTATTGGTTAAATTTAATAATTCTATTCTATTTGGTCCGAGGCAAGTTGCTCTAAAAAATGGTCATTTACTTCAGAAGTATTTATTTCGTCTATATTATGTAGTTCTTCTGGAATTATATTTTGTGGCTGGTTTGAAAAATAGTTTTGATTACGAGGTTTATATCGGTTTTGATAATTTTGGTTCGGTCTCGAGTATTAGTTGTTGAAATAGTCATTGGAGTTGGGTTTGGAAGATTTCGGTTTTGATTTGGTCTAAAAACGTTATTATCTCTGCTACTGCCAGGTTGGTTTTGATTATTATTAAAAGTTCGGGTTTGCGCGTTTTGATAGTGACTTTTTGGGTATTGAGAATAATTGTGATTTCTTTGGTTATTATGTTGGAAGTTAAATTTATTTGGTGGAACATAATTGGATAAGTTTAGTTTGTTTTTATGCGAAAAGTTATTTGATGATGAGGGGTTTTGATTTTTTGTAGAATTATTTTGTCCCATATAAATTTGGAAATCATTTATTAGAACGTTTAAAGCTGTGTTCATATCCATAGGATTTTTAGTACGCATAAAAGTACCTAGGGGTTCCTTAAGACCACGTAGCAATACTCTCAAAGCTAGATTTCTAAAATAACTACCAAGTATCTCTTGTTCATTAATATTAGAACGAGTTTGCAGCAAAGATATTTGGAGATTTAAGAGATGCTGTATTTTTTGAAAAAACTCAAATGGCGATTCATTGCCTTGTTTAAGATGCGTGATTTCTATACTAAGTGTATATACGTCTCTTTTATATGCATAAGTGTTTAATAGAGCATCTTTTAAATTTTCCCAAGTTCTTATAGTACATGAAGAAATATTTATGGCGGCATCACCTTTAATTTTTGCTAAAATGCTAGAAGTCAAATATTCATTTTGAAAATCGGTTGGATCGGTTATATTAAAAAATTTATTGACTATTTTTTCGCAAATATCTATGAAGAGTGGAAGTAACGCAACATCTCCATGGAATTCTGGGATTATGTCCAGGTATTCCTTTTTTAGTTGAGGTAAAGCCATAATTAATATGGATTTTAATAAAATAATTGAAGGAAAAATATTAGAAGTATTTGGTTGAGTAATAAATAAAAGTTTATTGTTGTTTGAGTCAGAATTACTTGAACTGTCTGAATTAATAAAAGATTTTTGCTCTCTATACGACATAAATAAAGGTACTTACAGTAAGAATAGTTTCCAGCCCATCTATGTTCTGAGTCCAACAACGGCACGGCAGGAACAGGACCTTCACAGGAACTTTAATATTCACTTGAATTTTCCTTTACACTATTCTTCAAGTCAGGCTACTTAATTCACCTAACTAAGAGTCTTTATTCGCGGTTCCAGTTATTTTTTGCTCGATACATTATCAAATCGTTAATACGAACCTGTATTTATATTCACTAAAGCCCGTTTTATCTATCCTACTGACTGCGCCACTAAACTTGGAACACTCTGTATATAGTTTTTTAAAAAGATTTATTTAACAAATTTTTACAAGACAACTTTCATTGAAGAGAACAGATTCTAAACTAAATTATAAAAGTAATATTTTAACGTCTAACAGCACAAAAATGATAAAAATGTAATACTAGCTAACCGGAGATAATGCTGAAACTAAAGACGCGCCTTGGACAATGTCCTGTAACTATTTGCATACACTGCTGGTTATTCACTATAACTTGTATACACATATTCAGTCATTTATAGTAATAAATCAAATTACTTTACTTTATCAAACAATTTATGATATTTTTGAGAAAGTAGAAACTGCAATCTCATTTGCTAAAATAAATACCTTGGACAATTCTGTAGTAAATCCAATTGAACTTTTAAATGAAATTAAGAAAGCAAAATCTCAGACAAAGTCAAAATTAATGCCCTTTGATACTATACTAGGAAAAATAATCAGTACGAGAAAATAATAAATATTAAGAGCTATTCAGTAAATTCTATAATAACATTTGTATTAGAGATTCCATTAGTTGAATTAGAAATATATGATTATTACCAACTATTCCCTATTCCTATTCCTATGAACAACTCAAATTATCTTATTCATTTACCTTACAAACCATTCCTTGCACTTAATGAATTTAGCTATATCTACATGGAAGATATATGCACAGAAATAGATTCAGAAGAGTAAATATGTAAAGGAAATAATAAACTAACGACAACCGAAGAAGCAGTCCAATTAATAAATTTTAAGAAGAAGGCATTATCATGTAAACATTTTGAAGTAAAGATAAAGAAGATAGAATCTACAAGAATTAGCGACGGAAAATGGATAGTTACAGTTCCAGAAGAAGAATTAGCAATTATCGAATGCCCAAACTCAAAAGAAAATTTACCAGTACATGGAAGCTATGTTTTAGAGTCAGTTACCGATTGTACCGTGAAAATCAAGAATGAAGTCTTCCAAACAGAAAAATTTAGTAAAACTCATTTTGCTCATATAAATCTTCCAAAAATTTATTCCTTCTATTAATATTTTTCAAAATAAAAGTTCAAATTTTTCACCAATAAATCTTAATACAATTAACCTTAGAAACTTAGAAAGAAAAGTTAGAAACACAAAAATGTAATTTGAAAGATAATAATTCAATTTATTTTAAACAAACAAGTTTTTGGACAATCTGTATATATATATATATATATATATATATATAATATATATATATAATAAATTTTCATTTTAATTTTATATTACTTAACTAAATATGGTAAAAATGTGCGTTAAAGAAAACAAGAAGAAAGAAAACAAGAAGAAACCCCGGAATTAATTTTGTAAAGAAGCACATCCCAAGGATATCCTTCTTTTTTCTAAGGGTGGAGGAGTTACGTCCCTGGATTATCCAATGTGTGACGACATATAGAAAGACTATATATATATATATATATATATATATATATATATATATATATATATATATATATATATATATATCAGTGTTTAATTAGATTAAGAGCTTTTTGTGTTGTAGTTATTACCATACCTGTACGTTCTCAAAAATAAATTTTGTTACGAAAATAAAATGTTTTAAAAATCTGTTTTCGGTTTTGACTTTCGTAACTTTGCATTCAGCAGCGTCATAATTTTGTTGTTGAATGTTGTTGTTTGACCAGTAGAAAGATCAGGCTGATTAAGTTTCGTAGGTAAGTAAGTGTAATACCTAATATATTTATTATTTGTTTATATATTGTGTTGACCAAATTTATTTGATAATTAACTGTTGGTATCTTTCCTTGGGTTTGATCTCTGAACCTAAATATCTTTCCTTATCTCTTTTCTTTTCTAAGGTTTCTTAATTTTCTCCTTAACCCCAAAAAATTGAGTGGCGCCCTGTTTCTATCTTATCGTATCTTTGGTAATTTTACCCATCTATCTTTTTGTTTATTTCTGTATCTTTTCTAATATCTCTTATCCTATCTTTATTTATTTCGTCCGTTGGACCTATTCCCGATTCCAAAAGTTAGTTTCGAACCCACGACTCGCTCTCCACCAACCATCTGACTGCCGTCCGCAGTGTCTCCGTTGGTTATCTTTCTAGCACCATCCAAAAAAGATTTCCGAGGTTACACATATTTTTATGCCGCCCAGAACGTGGGGCTTATATTCTTTTGTTTTTTTTCTTTGCCCGTTGCCTTTGCGTGTCTTTCACATTTTTATGTTCCGGTTTCTTTACCTAAAGAAGTTTTCCCTATACATTTACATAACGCCGAAGCTACAAGGAACCCTCATCAGCTTTCGTTGTTTTATTTGTATTTATTTCTTCTTATATATGTTTTATCTCTATCTCAGTTAATTCTTAATTTTCTTCTTGCATTCCGTCTGGTTAACACACTATAAAAGTTTCTCCGGATTTATTTATAAATATTATGATTAAACCTAATCTTTCTTTGATGTATTTGTACTATTTTTATATTTTTTTTTATTATTACCTGTAGACTCAAATTAAAAAATGAATAATTTTGAGATCAATTTTCTTACTTCAGAGGAAATTAATTATGAGTTAAAAATCAGAGGAACTGTTACGAGTAGATAAATAAATGAAAGGAGGAAAATCCTCAAGAGATTGTTAGTTAGGGATAACAGCAATTAATTATCTTTAGATACCTTAGATTATGACAACGAAAAGACTGCTATTAAAAATTCTATCGATAAGATATCAAAGTTAGTTGAAGAGTTTAAAGGTTCTTTAACAGATTCTTGTTTTCGCCAAGTCAAATCAAGTACTCATTTGTTAGGTAGAATAGATCGTCTTCCTATTCCCGAGCCTGATTCTGAGGAATCTATTTCTTTCCGAAATGAATCTAATGCTACCTGTTTGTTATTGGAGCAAGAGATGAATGATAAAGTCATTCTTTTAGCTTCTAGTTCTTCTTCTGTCAAGTATGTCTCTCCTGCTGCTCCACAGATAATACATGTTTCTTCTCCCGATTCAAATATCTCCCAATATTCCATATTTAAGTGGAATGTTAAATTTAATGGCGATCTCAAGACTGTACTTGATTTTATCGAATGAGTTAACGAGTTATCTGAATCTCGTAATGTCCCGAAAGATATTTTATTTAATTCGGCTATTGAATTTTTCTCTGGCGATGCCGCAGTGTGGTTTCGAAGTATTAAGTCCTCAATAAGTTCGTGGGTTGGACTTGTTGAACTTCTTAAATTCAATTTTCTACCTCCCGATGTCGACGAAGAACTTTGGGATCAAATTAAAGGTCGCAAACAAAAACGTAGCGAGCCTATCGTCATTTTCGCAGCGCAAATGCTGTCTCTTTTTAATCGTTTATCTCGCGAAGCATCCGAATCCACTAAGTTAAGGATTATTCGCAAAAATATCTTACCTGAAGATATTCCTCATGTCATTTGAAAAGACATTAATACCGTGAGTGAACTAACTCACGGTATCACCGGTGAAGCTAAGTTCTTCCAAAATTCAAAAATCTCTGTTTTCGAAACTGATACTCCTCAGCCATTCTCACAACAATCTCTCAAATGCCATATCTTCTCCATCTGTCCCTAATCACGTATCTAATTTATCGAATTCGAGTACAAACAGATATATAGATATATATATATATATATATATATATATATATATATATATATATATATATATATATATATATATATATATATATCTATATATATATATATATATATATATCTATATATATATATATATATATATATATATCTATACTATATATATATATATATATATATATATATATATATATTATATATATATATATATATTATATATATATATAGATATATATATATATATATATATATATATATATATATATATATAGATATAGATATATATATATATATATAATATTATATATATATATATATATATATATATATATATAGATATATAGATATAGATATAGATATATATATATATATATATATATATATATATATATATATCTATATATATATATATATATATATATTATATATATAATATATAATATTATATCTATATCTATATATATATATATATATATATATATATATATATATATATATCTATATCTATATCTATATATATATATATATATATATATATATATATATTATATATATCTATATATATATATATTATATATATATATATATATATATATATATATTATATCTATATATATATATATATATATATATATATATATATATAGATTATACATACATATATATATATATATATATATATATATATATATAATATATATATATTATATATATATATATATATATATATATATATATATATAACACTGTTTTTGATGGGTTGGAGTCAATAAAAGGGGCTATTTGTTGACTATTTTTTACTCGAGCTTTCAATTGTGATTACAATTTTTATCAAGAGCTTCTAAAAAATACAAAATGTCTACAATCACTCTTGTGAGAAATACATTAAGAATTAAGAAAACCATCTTGTGCTTTGGCAGAGCATGTAATAGACAAAGACCATATTATGGATTTTGATAATATTAAAATTTTATGTAATGAAAGTAATAAATTTAAAAGAACTTTTTTGGAAATGGTTTGTATTAGCAAAAGTGATAATAATTTAAACAAAAGGTCAGAAATTCAAAATTTAAGCAAAATTTATAATTATATAATTTCTATTTAATTTATGCAGTCAGTAAAATATCACATTTTGAATTTTCCATGTATTTGTTACATTTTTTCGGGCATCTATCAATGGTGAATAAATCTTCTTCTTTTTTGTTACTTAACAAAGAAGAATTTTTTAAACAAAATTTTATTTTTGACAATATGTCAAAAATAAAAATTTTTAAGTTAGTATTTATGTCATTTTAGGCTGGTTGTAGCTATTCTATTTTTGTTTATAAATTCAATTTTTTTTCTTAAGAAACTTCATCTAAATTTTTCAGAGAAACATTTATTAGAATAAGGCATTTTTTTATTAATATTTTTTGTATTTATTATGTAAGCAGTAGTTTTATATAAAAAACTAATTTTATTTGATGAGTTAACAAAAAATTTTTTATTTCTAGTTCAACTTTGTAAGACATTTTGTATTTTTTAGAAGCTCTTGATAAAAATTGTAATCACAATTGAAAGCTCGAGTAAAAAATAGTCAACAAATAGCCCCTTTTATTGACTCCAACCCATCAAAAACAGTGTTATATTTTTTCCAAACGAGTCACAAGTACTTCTTTTTTCTTACTCTTATATATAGTATTATATATATATATATATAGATATTGAGATAATAATAGATATAGAAGAAAATTTACATAATAATATTATGATTTTTAATTAATAAACTTAAATAGTGATTAAAGAAATAATTTATAAGTTATAGACTAGAGAATATTACAAAAATATTTATATGAGGGTATTTTTAAGAATTCAGCATAATAATAAGTTTAAAAAGTTTTTTTTAATAATAAATATATTTAAGTGGGATAAGTGCATAGGCAACCAAATATACACTGCATTATAATGACATGAGTGAATTTTAACCCTTTTAATAGGGTTAAAATTCACTCAAAAAGAAATTTACATAATAATATTATGATTTTTAATTAATAAATTTAAATAGTGATTAAAGAAATAATTTATAAGTTATAGACTAGAGAATATTACAAAAATATTTATATGAGGGCATTTTTAAGAATTCAGCATAATAATAAGTTTAAAAAGTTTTTTTTAATAATAAATATATTTAAGTGAGATAAGTGCATAGGCAACCAAATATACACTGTATTATAATGACATGAGTAAATTTTAACCCTTTTAATAGGGTTATTTATTAATTTAAGATGTTTAATTTGAATAATAATTACGGATTTCAAATAGTGTTATGTATTAATTTAAGATGTTTAGTTTATATATAAGTGTATATTCTAATCTGAGAAACCTAAATGTCCATTAAATTATCCACAGAAAAATTAAGAATTCTCTAGCATATGTCAATATAAGGAAGTTAACCTATTTACGTGGTAGACTATTCGAGAACATTTAGATATTGATTACTAATAAACTGGGAATAAGCCACAATTAAAGATAAAAATACGTTTATTGACGTTTCAATTTCCACTTCGGAAATCGTTCTCAAAATTTTGTATTTTGAGAACGATTTCCGAAGTGGAAATTGAAACGTCAATAAACGTATTTTTATCTTTAATTGTGGCTTATTCCCAGTTTATTAGTAATTAATTTACAATGCCACAAGAAAATAGCTTCAGAACAATTTAGATATTGATGAAATAGAACAAATTCGAACTGATTTATTGCTAGAATATTCGGGAACGATGAAAAGATATAAATGCGATATAATTTGGAGCAAGCATTCAATAAGACAGTTACAATTAACAGTTGCAGTAAGACAGTTAGACAGTGCATTCATTAAGCAGTCAATCATTCAGTCAGTTGATCAGTAAATAGTACAAGCAGATAGTATACAGTGTTTTATAGTAATTAAAAGTATATTTGAAAGTATATTAAAATTATAATATCTATATGGTGATTATTAAGAAGAAAAAGTAAGATTATAAGAAAGAAGCAAAGAAGAAACAATAAATAAAGAAGAATATTTTGCCCATTTATAAATGCTATTAAGAAAAAAAATAATTTAAATTGGTGAAAGCTGATAATTAAAACATTGTGGTATATTTGGAAAAAGCAATTTCACAAAAACAAGGATAACCGAGGCTGATAAAGAAGATATTGAGTGCCAAAAGGTACCAAATTTTGTTAATACAATTTAATTATTGTAAGAATTTCAAATTTAAGATAGGTTGTTCTAAATTTATATTGTTTATATTAGATATATACCCATTGCTCCTACACAATTAAAACATCATAGCAATATATATAATTATATATATAATATAATAATATATATAATATATATATATATAATTATATATAAATATAAATATATATATATATATATATTCAGCGAATAGACAAAGATAACAATCATATTTCCCCTTGGTCTCCCCTCCATAAATATTTTTAACACCCATTGGCCATTAGTGAGACGAATAGTTCCGATCAGAGATATTTTACATATTCTCTGGTTCCGATCCTAATATACCTGAAAAACTAGAGGTGGGTCCTCCCGTTTTTTAAATTTTTATCGGAACCGTTTTTCGTAAACTGTAACTAGTTCATTGTTTACCAGTATTCAAATTAGCGAGTACACAATTATATTGGCTATTATCGTTTATGTGTATAAGTATTGAAGTGAAAGAACCTAACAAAGGATATATTTATTATAACTTGAAAAATAAATTAAACAATACAAATAGTACTTACATTTACATTACACATTATTAATATTGTTCTGAAGCTATTTTCTTGTGGCATTTTAAATCAATTACAATTTAACTGGGAACAAGCCACAATTAAAGATAAAAATACGTTTATTGAGGTTTCAATTTCCACTTCGGAAATCGTTCTCAAAATACAAACAGTAAATTAATCAAATTTTGTGTTTTGTTACATAGTGAAAAATTCTTCTAATAATTTAATTTTATCTGACTCATTTATATTAACAATTCAGACAAACATTATACATTTTAAAGTAGACGACTTTAAAATGATATTGCCAATATTGTTGAGTTGCGCTCCTGGGACGACTTTACTTATAAGATAGTTCATTCGATTACATGAAATCAACTTTAACTTGAGAATATCTGTCAGAAAAAATCATAGCATATAATTCGTCTTTAAAAAGACAAACACATGACATGATCACAATAAAATTCTCCTGTTAGTGATTCCATAGTAAATTATGAGGGAAAAACCAGGAAAAAATCCTCATAATACTAGCCCCACATGGTAAGTATTTGTTCGTGCATTTAGTTTACCTTCAATAAACACCAAAATTCTGATTTTATATGTTCTGTTATTTAAAAAACATAAATGATGTATCCTCTATATGTTACTGACTTACTAATACTGGTATTTTCTTATTAATAACTTCCTCTTTCAATATTGGTAACCAGATCCTACTACATTCTGCCGAGGAATTTGCTACAAAATAGGACTACATTTGAATTATTCCATTGAACCCTATATTCATTATCCCATGCGTGTATTTGAGATCTGTCAAATTCTCTATTTTTGACAAAGTATTTTATAAATGCAATTCTTTGTCCTTTCTTGTTTATTGTTAGGTTTGGTTTTGGACAAAATAGATCTCAACGTGTTTGTTGTTTTGAATGTTGTTGAAATGTTCGTCCATAAGGAACGGTAGCTTTTAAACTGGGACTTCTACAAACAAACTATATCCCATATTATCAATACGTTCCAGACAATATGCTTGAGGATGACAACTACAAGCTATACTGGGATCGCACTGTGCTCACAGACCAAACTGTAGCACATAATAGACCAGATGTCGTGCTAGTTAATAAACTAACAAGACAAACAACTCTAATCGATGTGGCGATACCTAACAACAATAATCTGCGTTTTAAGTACAACCAAAAGATCGCCAAGTATAGAGATCTGGAAATACAAATAAGAAGACAATGGAGAATGGAAAGTACCCAGACGATACCTATTATTATTTCTATCACTGGAGTCATTCCGAAGAACCTCCTAGAAAACATAAAAAAGCTGGGTCTAAATGAACATCTATATAAGGTCATGCAGAAAGCTGTGCTACTTTCGACGTCCAGATGCGTGCAAAAATTTTTAGGAGATACACCGACGTACCAAGTCACCTAGGACTCGATAACATGGAAAGACTCCCACCAGAGCTCAATCCTTTTGATACCGTAGGTATCTGGGATGAGTGAATTTTCCCCTTAGAGGGAGTGTGAGCCGTATGGCTAAATCTAGATAATAATAAATATACACATAAACGATAATAGCCATTATGTTTGTTTATGTAGGTACTCTCTTACTTGAAACTACTTTTAAACAATCATAGATACTTGTTTACAAAAATTTAAATTTTTAAATGCATTAATTTTTGTTGGAACCCTGAGAAACAAATATTTTTGAAAAAATGCAAAATGAAAGATTACATTATTACCGAGGGCCGAAAGTCCCTTAGAATAAACAAAAAGTTTTTTGAATGAGATATTTGAAATTAAAAATCACACTAATGTTTTTTTCATCCCTATAACTTATTAAAATAAACATTATAGAAGTTTTCAGGTACTTTCGGCCCTCGGTAATAATGTATTATTTCATTCTGCGTTTAAATTTTTCAAAAATATTTATTAGTTTTCTCAGGATTCGAAAAAAATGAATGCATTTAGAAAATATTGGCCGGGAAATTTTGTGCCTACGTTCTTAGCGATAAAACTACCACGACCCACCTCTACTACTCGTTACTCGTTGTTTTGACCAGACACGTTGCCAAATAATTATTGTGTATGAATATTTTTTTAATGTGGTGTTATTGTATGCAGTTTATTATTTCATATTGGGAATAAGGCACAATGTGACTTTAAAATAAGCTTATTTTGATGTTTAGATTTTTACTTCGGAAATCGTACTTAAAATACGAAACATTAATAAATTTTATTTATATAAAACGATCACCGTGGAAATCAAAATGTTATATTACACTTATTGTAAAGTAAACTTGTGGCATATTCCCAATAAAAAAACAGTAAGCTGCCATTTAAATAAATTTCGCCCAAATTTGATTATCTTAGAACATTGTTCAAATGCAAAAAAGACAACACGTCAAATAAAACCAATAAGTTTGGCAATGTTGAACTTCCCCTTTTTTATTTTGCATGTTCGGCGATATAAAGGACGGACCTAATATACCTCTCTCTTTCTAAGCAGCTGTTTCTCACTCCATCTCACGTAAGGTCCATACCGACCATAAACTTTTTCCTACACTGTTAATATATATATATATATATATATATATATATATATATATATGTATATATATATATAATATATATAATATATAATATATATATATATATATATATATATATATAATATATATATATATATATATATAATCATAATATGTAATTGATTTTGATTAGAGACACAAGTAATGGAAATAATGATGATATATTCATTTAACTTACCATCTCCATAATTTTGAGGCAATAATCTAGTGTACGGAGTATTTGGAGTTCCAAGAATAGGATTTCTGAAATTGTTGCAGGAGCCATCGTAAGACCTGTATCTTGTGCTTGGACACGATGCTGGTGGGTTTCCACAACCTAAGGTAGATGGATCAGGTATAGGCTGGGCAGGAAAGTTGGAGCGTGCATAATTTCCGAAGTAACTATTGCCACTAAAACATACAATAATATTCCAAATAAGTAGTTGAACATTTCATATTAAACACGATTATATACTTATGACTGGAAGGCAACAGCGTGGGAAAATAAGGTCTAAATAGTACGATAAGGAATGTGCACGAAATATGCTTTTTTAACATGTAATTTGTGAGAACTTTCAGTCACGAAGATCTCCAAAAATATTGGCTTTTTGAAAAATCTCTAACAAAAATTTTTGTCTTAAAACTCTACTCTAGCGACTACCATAGTTTTTTTTTTGATAATCTTTTTCCACTCCGGAGTTGGGGTGGTAACCACCTCCAGAGAAAAAGCACATAATAGCATGGGGTATATTTTAATCTTTGAGCTATTTTTTACCTACTGTCATAATTTCAAGAAAATAAATGCATATAAAAAATTTCTGAGCAGAAAACCATCATATCATGGACTATAGTTGTTCGATCAGATTTCTCACATTCTACGTATTTAGTCTGTTGGAACCGTTCTAGTTAACTTTGAAACGCTTCTCTTCTTGTTGGTCATATATTAGGAAATTTCTGATAATAAATTCTTATTGCTAGTAGCACATTTTTGTTACACTCTCCTGGCTCAAAAACCACATTAATGTTCCTTCTTAGAAAAATTTATGTTAGTAATAGTACAAAAACAATAAAAACTATAAAAATAGTCTAATCTCAAAATTTTAAGCAAGTTAAATGTCAAACTCATACCCAGTTCGGTAGAATATTGTGTATTGTTATTATAATTAATATTTTAGACGCGCAATCTTAATTACTTATGGATTTTGTATCGCATACGATAACATATTAGAGGTCAGTCCAGATTATTATGTATTTTTTTGTAAAAAAAATATTTTTGATTTAATATTTTCATGGCCAACCTAATAAAATTTCACGATGGTAACTGTTGTTGAAATTAATATTTGGCTACAAGAAGAAGAACCATAAAATATGACTTCGAAAACATCAAAATTTTAAAAACCGAACAAAAGCGAAAGAAATGGGATATATACGAATCAATATAAAAAAAAAGAAATACCAATACAATCAATGACAAGAAAGATACACAGAACCTAAATAACATATATTTCAACTTGATTTAAATAATAATAAATATTAATAAATATAACATCATAAAAAACTCTTAAAGCTGTAACATATTTCCACTTTACCTTTTTCGAAAATACCAACGCTCATAAAAATAATTATTTACTAATGACAATTAACCATGAGATATCAGATATCAATTTTATTTCAGTCAGTTCATTAATGTCAGTGTTCCTGTCATTGAAACGCTGATTTCAATGGACAATAAAATCTAGTTCCAAATTTATATTACTTATTGAACCTAAACCCAAGAAATATTAATTTATATTATATATATATATATATATATATATATATATATATATATATATATATATATATATATATATAAGTACGACCTTCAAACAATTATCAATGAAGTAAGTTTCAAAAGAAATAAATCTTTTGGTCACGAGGATATCGGTCAGGGGAGAAATAATACAAGGAAATCACGATTCCATTCCTATATTTGAAGACGTTTCGCTTGTGGAATTTACAATCTTCATCAGTTCAATCTAAAAAAATTTTACAATGGTGGTAGGCAATAATATAAAAACATGGAAAAATAACTTACGAATGGTGAGTGAAGAATAATAAGGTGTCAAACAAACACACCATTCTCTTGGTAACCGTGGTCAATACATCAAAATGTTGTTGTTGAAATCGTAGCTTAAATGTTTCTGTGTAGTAGCATTCGTGTATTACAATGCGAAGCTCAAATTTATATATATATATATATATATATATATATATATATATATTATATATATATTTATATATAAACAAACAATATTAAACAATATAAACAGAAAAGAAAACAAAAAAAAACCAAAAATGGTATATAGATGGAAGGCAACCGTATATACGTATTTCTGACTATTGGTCGTCTTCAGTACGGTGCAACTTTAATGCCACAAAATGGTTGCATTGCTCCTGCAGTTTTCTAGTTTCTTTGGACTTCTTCTTTTTCCTGTTTCTAAATTGGCTGCACCGTACTGAAGACGACCGATAGTCAGAAATACGTATACGGTTGCCTTCTATCTATATACCATTTTTGGTTTTTTTTTTACTTTTATTATTTTTTTTTTACTTTTTACTTTTATTATTCACTTGCATTATCCGTTTCCATTTCATTCTATATATATATATAATATATATATTATATATATATATATATAATATATATATATAATATATATATATATATATATATAGTGAAAAGGAGATAATACTGGGAAGTACCCTTTTATAACTGAGGAAGCAAAATAAAACTAGGGGTGCTTCGTTAGATGTGCTTTTTAATTAAAGGTCTAAGCTTTCGTCAATGATCATTGACATCATCAGAGTAAACCTAATTCTAGCAAGTAACTCAGTGACTTGGGTTGAACACAAAGAAAGTATTGTCTATGTATATATTAAACATAGTTGCAGAAATGGTATCCATAGTTTACAATGTGTTTTTTATTTAATTATAAACGATATATTTACTATAAATCTAACCACAACAAATAGTTATAAAAGGGTACTTCCCAGTATTATCTCCTTTTCACTACATAGTACTCGTACCCGTTATCATCCTTTTGGTTATATATATATATATATATATATATATATATATATTTATATATAATAAATATATAACAATTTATTGTTTTGTAGTATCAGGTATGCGATCTGTTATTAAAAAAAACTCTTTTTTCTTTTATTACTCTATATTTCGCTGATTTTTGTCAGCTTCTTGAGGAGATAACTAAAATATGGTTAAAATTTTATATACAATTTACTTACAGAATAAGAGTTAAAATATTTAAAAATGTTGAATATAATATATTCAAAACAGTACTGACAGTATTAGTTAAAAGCACCTAGTCACTAGTAATTAAATATAACAAAAAAATATAATAAATAGAAAACAAAAACAACCAAGAAACAATAAAAACACAATAAAATTACATATTAAAAATATACAGGGTGATTTAAAATATAATTGTAAAAAGAAAAATTATTTGTGATGCCCAGTTTTTAGGTAATGGTCAACTGCCGCACATGTATTCTTCTTTTTTGTGCAGTCACTCTTGTGTTGTGTGACCCGTTGTTTTAGCCATTGAGAAGTTTGGCCAACATAACAGCTCTGACAATCCAAACAAGGCAGTTTGTAGATGACATTAATTTTATTTACAGTAGTTGGTGTTTTGTCTTTTACTTTAGAAAACAGTTGTCGGTTTTCTAATACATTATATTGGACAATTTTGATGTAAGTAAATTGTTTAAATAAACTAGTCACAGTAGGTGTTAAACTATCAGCTTTCGAATTTAAACTGGCCCATAAACTTTGGCCTGACCCTAAAACCACCAACAGAAGAATATTTTTACTACGATGTAGAGCCACTAATGTTATTCCAAATCACGTTCAAAACAGTACAAAAAACCTACAAATGATTTTATATACAGCTAATGACATACTTATGAGTAATACAGTAGATAGGTTCATTAAGCAATTATGTGAAAAACTTTAGCTTTAGAAATAAAAAACACATGCAATAATTTAGTACCTATATTTACAAAAATCTATTAGTACAGTTAAATTTCGATTGCAGAATATTTTACCGTTGCACATCATGCAGGATTTTGAAGCCAGTTTAAAGCGATTTTTTAATTATATTTTTGAAGATGTTAAGATAAAGAACATTAACAAATATGAAAGATTATATTCGAACAACACTCCTAAAGTAAATAAGCTATTTAATGACAACAGTAAATGGTTCAAAAATATATCTTCTGTTAATATTAACACAAATGTTTCTCACTTCCTGTCTCTGGGTCCAAAATTTGGGGTTTCTTGTCCAAAATCAGATTTTAAGTTAGATAATTTTTTAGTTGATGTAGAAAATATAATAGATGCAATACCGGATACATCTAAAGACTTATTAAGAGCAAAAGTTACTAATGTCGTTAAGAAACTACTTAAATCATTCCAACAAAGAACATTCCAGTGTTTTAAATAAAATATTTAAAGAAACTCAACAATTCTTAAAACTACATCCAGATCTTTATATTTTACAATCAGATAAGGGAGGGTGTACAGTAGCAATGAACAAAACAGAATATATTGAAAAAACAGAAGGCTTATTAAATGATAAAATTACATATATTCAGCTAAAAAGAGATCCAACTAGTAAGATACAATTTTCATATAATGAACTTATTAAAACTATGAGGAATCACTTAGAAATAAACCAAGAATTTGCCAAAAAACTGACTATATACAATGCATCTTGTCGAAAACTTTACTGCTTACCAAAAATTCATAAAAAAGGTGTACCACTTAGACCTATTGTAAGCTCTATAAATTCGGTAACTTATGACTTATCCAAATTTTTTGCTAACATTCTTTAAAGATGCTTTTGACGCAGTGAATAACTTTAATGCAAAGGATACATTTTCATTTGTTAATGATGTCAGAGAGCTGATTTTACCGAAAGATTATGTTCTAATTTCGTTAGATGTTAGATATCGTTATTTACTAACATACCAATAGATCTGGTCTGTAATGTAATACAGTCAAAATGGAATCTCATCCAAAAATATACAATCATTTCTAAGGATAGTTTTTTAACACTTCTGAATTATGTTTTTGAGAACACCTATTTTATTTTTAATGAAAAATTCTATCGACAAATATTTGGAGCACCTATGGGTAGTCCACTCAGTTCCATAATAGCAACCATTATTTTGGACCATTTGCTAGATGTCATTATTCCACAATTACCTTTCCCTTTACCCTTCATTAAAAAATTTGTAGACGATCTTATATGTTCAGTTCCTACTTCACAAATTCAGAATACTTTGAACATTTTTACATAACTTTAACAAACATATTCAACTTACGTTAGAGATTGAAAATGATTGTTCGATATCATTTTTGGACACCAAATTAATAAGAACTGAACAAAACAAAATATTGATAGATTGGTATCAAAAGCCAACACACTCTGTAAGATATTTAAACTTTTTCTCAAATCATCCCACTCATCAAAAGTTTAATACAGTGATTGCAATGAAGAATAGGGTAAGGCCTATTAGTGATGAAAAATTCATAAACAGAAACTTAAATTTGCTTTTAAACGTTTTTGAAAATAATGGATACCCAAAACATATGTTTAAAAAATTAATATTTAACTCAGACATTTTTGACGGTCCCACTGATATCGGAGCAGTGCAAACAATCCAATATAAAAAAATTATCATTAATAAAACAGTTAACACCTTCTGTGACTAGTTTATTTAAACAATTTACTAACATCAAAATTGTCCAATATAATGTATTAGAAAACCGACAACTATTTTCTAAAGTAAAAGACAAGACACCAACTGTAAATATAACTAATGTCATCTACAAACTGCCTTGTTTGGATTGTCAGGGCTGTTATGTTGACCAAACTTTTTAATGGCTAAAACAACGGGTCACACAACACAAAAGTGACTGCACAAAAAAGAAGAATACATGTGCGGCAGCTGACCATTACCTAAAAACTGGGCATCAATTTGACTACTCAAATGTCAGGGTTCTACAACAAGAGAACAATTACAAAAAAAGATTGTTTTTAGAAATGTGTCACATTAATAAAGACAAATATGCAGTTAATTATAAGGCAGATACGGGACAGTTGAGCAATATCTACTGTAATATTCTTAGTATGTTCAAATAATTTTTCTTTTTACAATTATATTTTAAATCACCCTGTATATTTTTAATGTGTAATTTTATTGTGTTTTTATTGTTTCTTGGTTGTTTTTGTTTTCTATTTATTATATTTTTTTTGTTATATTTAATTACTAGTGACTAGGTGCTTTTAACTAATACTGTCAGTACTGTTTTGAATATATTATGTTCAACATTTTTAAATATTTTAACTCTTTTTCTGTAAGTAAATTCATTGTTTATTATCACCTGTTATGTATAAAAAATGTTAACCATATTTTAGTTATCTCCTAAAGAAGCTGACAAAAATCAGCGAAATATAGAGTAATAAAAGAAAAAAGAGTTTTTTTTTAATAACAGACCGCATATCTGATACTCCAAAACAATAAATTGTTATTTACGTTTCGGTCGATAATCCTACCAGTTTTGCTATATATATATATATATATATATATATATATAATATATATATATATATATATATATATATATATATATATATATATATATATTATATATTATATATATATATATATTATATATATATATATATATTATATATATATATATATATATATATATATATATATATGTGTGTGTGTGTGTGTGTGTGTGTGTGTGTTGTGTGTGTGTGTCTGTGTGTGTGTGTGTGTGTGTGTGTGTGTGTGTGTGTGTGTGTGTGTGTGTGTGTGTGTGTGTGTGTGTGTGTGTGTGTGTGTGTCTGCTTGTGTGTGTATATAATTTGTGTGAACTTGACATTTCCAGTGAGGAAAGTATTTTAAAGAACACAATGTTTAATTTTTTTTTTCGTTGGAAAAGAAGAGCAGATTGAATATTTTTATATGAACTATATAAACTAGTTTTATTATTATTTTTTTAAATTTAGTAAACACATTTAAGGAAATATCTTGATGCTAATTTTGATCACTTAGTGGAAGATGGTAGAAGAAAAGACATAATCTATTTTCTAACTATAATACTTAAATAAAAAGGAAAACTTTTACATCAATACCAGACGGAAGCACCATTGACACTGAAAGAATCGATTCAATTCAAATTCACTATAGTAATTTTGACTTAAAACATCTATCATTTGGTTCTTTAAGATTAACTATTTTTTGACTTACCCAGAAACTCCTGATGAATGATATGAGACTGGTATATTTTGAATAATATCAGTAACTGCAGGTTTTTGGAGAAATACACTATAGGAAGGATGGAGTGCGCTAACACTAAACGCTATTTGAATAAGGAAGGCAATAATTGTCAGCATCATCATAAATCAATTCAGTATCTGAAACTAAATTAAATATTCAAAAATTATATATAAAATTATATATAAATTGTAAATCTATATCATATTATAAATGTATATATATACACACACATATATACTTTAAAATATTACGATTTAAGCTAACTTGCTTTAATACGATGTTGATATTAAAAAAGATACAGGGTGTTAAAGTGAAAATTTAAAATTTTATTTTTCGCTATAACTTTCATGTTTGTAAACATTTATGTATAAAAATTTACAGCTGAGTACTACTTAATATCAGGAATTATAATTTGATGCATACTTTGACATAGCTAATAGAGGGCGCCACATATGCCACATACGTAGCATACGTTTGCAATTAACTTTTTTTGTTCTTCAAGTTATCGGTATTTTTGATAAAAAATATTAAAGATACAATATTTTAACAAAAAAAGGTATACTTGTTAATAACTTCAAAACTCAACAGTTTTCGAGATAATCGCATTTTACAAATCAACTGCATAATTCTGATTTAACGCAATTACTCCAGGCAATGAAAGAAAAATAGATAAAAACATCAATACTTCTGAATTTTGTTATAAAATACCTTTAATAAAGTCAATAGTTAACGAAATATTAAATAAACTAAATATATCAGCAGGATAATTAATAATGGGATTTGATAAAATAACAGAATAATTGGATTTTACATCAAACATTTTACGTTTTGTATTAAATTAAAGTCATAATCAAAACATTATATTAAAAAAAAATTAAAAAATAGTTAAACTAAATAACATTAAACTTTTTGTCACAGTAAGTGTTATTTCATATTATTTCAAATTTTTATGAATTAAATTATATTATTATCTCACCACAATAATATGACTACCATGAACAATCCAACGTTCAGGAAAGTCTATTTAAATACTGTCTCACTCCGCTTTCTCTGTAATGTAATGGTGTACCATCTTGTAGAAACCACATATTTCGCCTTAAGTTTGATGACAATTCTTCCAATAAATCAATAAAATTATTTTATAAAAAATGTAAATAAATCTCACCATTCAAATTGAAAGATAATTCGCATATCCGTAAAATATCATTCAAAATTCATATTTAAAATGCATGTCCTATCATTTGGAACCATTGATAATTATTTTTTACGGATATGCGAATTACGTTGCAATTTAAATGTCGACATTTATTTACATTTTTTGTAAAATAATTTTATTAATTTATTGTAAGAATTGTCACCAAATTTAAGGCGAAATATGTGGTTTCTACAAGATGGTACACCATTACATTACAGAGAAAGCGGAGTGAGACAGTATTTAAATACAACTTTCCTGAACGTTGGATTGTTCATGGTAGTAATATTCTTGTGGTGAGATATTAATATAATTATTTATTTCATAAACATTTTAAAAAATTACTTATTATTATACTTATAACACTTATAATAAATACTGCAGCAGTTTCTTTAGAACCAATGACGCTATTTAATATGAAACGATATTTTATGGAATTTATTGACAAATGAATTAAAGAAAATGGTGGACATATTGAACACTTACTTTGACAAAAAGTTTAATGTTATTTACTTTAACTATTTCTTAATTTGGTTTGTAAATAAAATGTTTTGGTTATGACTTTAATTTAATACAAAACGTAAAATATTTTATGTAAAATCCAATTATTCTGTTATTTATCAAACCCTATTATTTTATCCTGCTGATATATTTATTTTATTTAATAATTCATTAACTATTAACTTTATTAAAGGTATTTTATACCAAATTTCAGAAGTATTGATGTTTTTCTATAATTTTCTTTCGTTCCCTGGAGTAATTGCGATAAATCAGAATATGTAGTTGATTTCTAAAATGCGATTGATTCAAAACTGTTGAGTTTTGAAGATATTAACAAGTATACCTTTTTTTTGTTAAAATAATGTATCTTTAATATTTTGTATTAAAAATACTGGTAACTTTAATAGTAAAAAAGTTACGTGCAAATGTAATAACTTTATCAGTTACATCAAAGTGTACATCAAATTATAATTTCTCATATTTAATAGTACCCAGTTGTAAATTTTTATACATAAATGTTGGCAAACATTTAATTAATGATGGCAAATACATGGCAACTCGTAAAAGATTCCCTTAATCTTAGTTTTGGAGACCAGAGAGATCTCGATTGCTTATTACGATGACTTATGTTTAAAGACTTACATTAGAGGCTTACCCTTATCGTTACAAACAAATATAAGATTAAGAAACCCAGACAGTTTAGAGAAAGCTATGAGCTTCGTTATCGAAGAAGAGAATTTTCTATATTCGTTACAATGCGGAAATAATTTAAACTCACAAAATTCTTTAAGACCCTCTACGAGACATAATCCTACGAGAAACAATAATTCTAATCGAACTTTTATTCCTAGAAATAATTTACAACAAAATCGCCCTAATATGAGATTTCCACCTTACCAATATCAAAACATCAGACCGCAATACTTAAATAATAATTTTAATCCCAACAATACCTTTCAGCCACACCAAAATCAATTCCGAAATTTCAATAATTATAATTCTAACTTTAATCCAAAGAATTTCGACAATAATAATTCTAATTTCCGACCAAGGAACTTCCATAATAATAATCCTAATTTTCAACAAAGAAATGTTAATAATCAATCCCAAAATCAAAATCAATGCCAGCCAGAACCGATGGATACAACTTCACGAAATACTTCTTTAAGATCTAGACCACATTTTACCTCCACGCAATTATTTAATCAACAAATTAATAACGATCAAATACAATTCGAAAACCCCTTTGAAAATAATATTCCCACTGATTACGTACACCCAACGCAAGGAGCTAATGAACTTCCTTACGAGAACATTTATGAAACTCAATCCAGTCCTTATCGCAATCCAAATGAAACAAAAGAAAGATCATATCACAATCCCACACAAAATGTTGAAAACAGAAATTTTTGCATGGCCCAAGAAAACTACAATCCGACATAATATATTTAAATACAACGATAGCAGATTTACCACATTTTCTTATTCCTGAACTCAATGCCAGATTTTTATTAGATACAGGGTCTTCCAAAAGTTTGATATCTCCACAGTTAGCGCATAAATTTTATAAAAATTTTATTTCTTATGAAAATTTTAATATACAGACGGCTCACGGAATTTCTATGCACAATGAAATAATTAATATTACAGCTTTTAACATTTTTAAAGTAAATCAATATAATAAGTTTTATATTTTTAAATTTAGCGAAAATTTTGATGGATTAATTGGTATAGATTTATTACAAAAAATAAAAGCTTCAATTAATGTTAACACGCGACAAATGAAAACGCCTTATGTAACGATACCCATAATTTTTGAACCCAGTAAAAAGGATATATTATATCCCAAGTCAATTTTAAATCATACAATAGTTATTCCCCCTAGAACTAAGCAAATAGTCAAAATACCGGTAAAATTAAATGTAGGATTAGGTATATTAGAATATAAGAATTTCGGTAAAGGAATCGAAATGCCTAAAGCAGTAGTTAATGTAAAAAATAATTTTGCTATAACCACTATTACGAATATAAGCGAATCTAAGACAACGTTAACTATTACTGAACTCTTTGATATAGAACCATTAGATATAGTAAACAATAATTTTATAAGAAAGATGGAAACTGACGAAGAAACGTCTATTAATGATGATAACATGTTAAAGAGGAATTTAAGAAATATAAGGATAAATCACTGCAACAAAGAAGAAAAAGAATTACTAAAAAAGCTTTATTTCCAATATAGAGATATTTTTTATTGAGAAGGAATACCTTTAAGTTTTACTAATAGTATTAAACATAAAATTAAACTCACTGATGATTCTGCGATATATACAAAATCATATCGTTTCCCGGAAGTTCACCGAGAAGAGGTTAAATCCCAAATATATAAGATGTTAGCAGAAGGTATAATAGAAGATAGCAATTCTCCGTTTTCGAGTCCCATTTGGGTGGTTCCGAAAAAACAAGATGCTACAGGAAAAAGAAAATGGCGTCTACTAATAGATTATAGAAAGTTAAATGAGAGAACCGTAGATGACAAATACCCGTTACCAAACATAACAGAAATTTTAGATAAATTAGGGAGAGCAAATTACTTTTCGACACTAGATCTTTCAAGTGGCCTCCACCAAATAGAAGTCGACCCACAAGATGTTGCAAAAACAGCTTTTAGTACACCACAAGGTCACTTTCAATTCAAAAGAATGCCTTTTGGTTTAAAAAATGCACCCTCGACTTTTCAGAGAGTTATTGATAATGTTTTAAGAGGATTAACAGACGAAACGTGTATAGTATATTTAGACGATATTTTAATTTATAGTACACCTTTACAAGAGCACCTTGAAAAATTAAAAATAGTTTTCGAAAGACTCAGAAAGAGTAACTTGAAAGTACAATTAGACAAGTCAGAATTTTTACAAAAAATAGTTATGTATTTAGGACATGTAATTACCCCTCAAGGCGTAAAACCAAACCCTGATAAAATCTCTGCCATAAAAAGATTTCCCATTCCAAAAACCCAAACTGAAATAAAAAAGCTTTTTAGGATTATTAGGTTACTATAGACGATTTATAAAAGATTTTCCAAAAATTACTAAACCGATGACCAAATGTTTGAAGAAAGGTTCTAAAGTAAACCACGATAAAGATTTTATTGATTGTTTTGAAACTTGTAAACAAATCTTAACAAACGACCCTATTTTACAATACCCAAATTTTTCCCAACCATTTATTTTAACGACAGATGCTAGTAATTTTGCAATTGGAGCTGTATTATCACAAGGAAATGTTCCAAATGATCGACCCATCGCATACGCCTCAAGAACGCTAAATAAATCGGAGACAAATTACTCAACCATAGAAAAAAAACTGTTAGCAATTGTATGGGCCTGTAAACATTTCAGACCATACCTTTACGGCAGGAAATTT